ATCGCAGAACTGACATGAAATAGGAAACAGAGAGAATTTTAATGATAGTAAAATGTGAAAAGTCCAGGAATTCTTGACTTGCACTGATCTACAAATTTACAAAAAATAGAGGAATTTTGAATGTTCCTTAAATATTTATATTAACATGTCATTAGACTGACAATAAATTAGCAACAAATTAAAACTTCTTATATATTTTCTTCTGCGTGAATAAGCCCTAATTTTTTGATTAAATACAAATTTCATGATAATGTTGCTAATATTTAATAAAAAATGACGAAAAAAAAGGTATAAGATTTTATAAAAATCTAAAATATAAATAAATTCTATGTCTCAAATTAACAACAAAGAAAGAAAAGAAAATGTACGACGATGTAGCAATGGGATCGCTCAGATCAGTGTGCGCGATCGTCGTGCGCTCATGGTAGCATCATGTCACCATTGTCATCACATGTAATGGCAGTGTGGAATGCGAGCATATACAACACTCCGCTGTAAATAGGTAGGTAGGCTATTTTTTTTTTATTTGCAAATTCCAAACTGATAATTTAAATAATAAATTTTGAAAAATTGCTTTATTTCTGACATAATTGATATTTATTACGATGAAAGCGTCGTAATATATCAAATGGAAAAATAATTATTGTTGCACTTATTATATACTGCACTAGAGTTTACCGCTTTAAACGATGTCTTTATTCATCGAATTGTTACTAACAGTATAACTCAATTCAAATCTCAAATCTGTCTCGAATTGTTTGATGTTAATCTTTTAGTTTCAAGACATTTTGAAAAACTTTTAAAATCCAGAACCGGAAATTTTTGACTAAGCTAGTTTACATAACATTATTCCTATATAAAATGTTCTGCACTTACCATTAATTTATCAATTGCGTGACTAAAGTACATCTCCGAAATGTCTCCGAACATTCATTGCCCTGTTAGTACACTCGTAGTGCTAGTATATAGCACATTTCATCTGGTCAACTTAATTTTTGGAATACTTTAACAGAATTTACTCTGAATGAGTAAGATACTGAGTAACAGCATTAACCATATTTCGGATAAATTCCATGGATTGTCAATATTACTGATTAAAAATAATTTATTTACACTGTTCATTTCTTTACTCTCTTACAATATATTAAGCGGAATATTAAACTGTTGTAAATTATTTGGTAGTTTTTACCATTTTCTGCCCTGAAAAGTCCCAATAGCCAAAACTGTTACAAAACGTTATAAAAAATACACAAAACTTTGACTGATGAGCTGAACAATGATAATGTTTTTCCCCGATCTGGATAGATTAGCACCTTATACTTAACATTATACCAAAATTTAATAGTGAAAGCTTCCCACTTATTTTTAGTTTTACTTCAGTGTTTAATTAAAAAAAAAATAAATCCCAAAGAGGAAGGGGGAATATCCCGATGTTTGAAATATTCGAGATAATGTTACTTCACTAACTAATTCTTCTCTTCTCTATCTTTGGTGATTTTTGTGGCAAAATTACATTTCGAATATAATTTAACCTGTTTAAAACAGCATGACATTATACGAAAGAACACAAAAAAAGAACGAATATATAGATAAAAGACCGAGAATATATAATTATACCAATAAAAAACGTGACTGCAGAAAACTTGAAAAAGTCATCCGTTTTGAAGCAAAACAGAATAGATTCTTCGAAATTTGAAATAAAAATATCAAATTTAGTGTACTATCTCAAAATCTACCATCATTTTGCCATCTGAGCACCTATTATGCTATAAAATTTCTAACAAGAAATAAATTTATCAGCAAAACCTCTTTTATCCAATCCACCTCTATCCATAACATCATCCAGCAACTTCATAGCTAGCTTACTGTTCATCAAGTTAAAATGTTTCTCGAGAAAATCGAAACTTTTCTTAGCCATTTCAACATCACCATGCCGAAGCGCCATTACAAACTCGTAAAAATAGAAATACAAATCCTTTGATAATGAAGAATCTTTTGGTGGCAATTTTTTCCATGGTATTTTCCGTTCTTTTTTTGTTTTCTCATCAAGTAACAATGATGACTCATCATACATTGATAATAGAAGACGATGTCGCGCAGATATATCATCATTCTGCAAATTCGATTTGGAAAATGCATCAGTACATTATACTCACAAACTTTGCAATCAATACAAAATCTTATTACCCAATAAAACTCTATAATTGACAAACGTTTTTTTTTCACTGACTATATATCTGAGTGCAACGCCTTCAGATACAAAATCTTATTACCCAATAAATGTTCAAAACTTAGCTTTCGGCATAGTATATCTCACAGTCGAACTTTTGGCCTCTTTATAGCATTCTTTACGATTTAATTCTAACACACAACCTATATAGGTATCATTTTTCAAGATAGCATCTCTTTTAAGCCTCGTGCCGGTCTACAGTAGTCTAAAAAATTGTTTTCCCATTAGTTTGGGCCCAAATTATGCAGCACTGGAATTGAAACTGAAGTCATAAATGGTACTAAGTCGAAATCAAGTTCTCATAGATAAATTACATTGATTATGCTAAATTGAATAAGCTACGCTATTCACATAAATTAGAAAATTGCTTACTTTTCGTAACAGCAAAAGTACTGACGCAATTTCACAGTCCTTTAAAAGTTCTTCACCATAACCAAATCTAAAACACGAAAAATTTTTTATTTATATCAAAGAATCGTTACTAGGACTTTAAAGCAAAAAGCATATTACAGGACGTTCAGACCTTAAAATGATTTGTTTGGAATGAAAAAAGTATAAAACAGCAATTCACTTTGGATTATCTGTATTCTTCATATGAAGTGCCCACAGATCATCAACAGTTGCAAGTGCGTCTGCATACATCTCCAATTCAACCTGGCAGGCCGCTAATTTCTCTAAGGCTGCTAACTGACTACGAAATTCCACTTTCAATAATTCCGCTCCTTAAAAATAAGTAAATATAAAGTAATAATATTGTTAATAAAAATAAACAAATATAAAGTAATAATATTGTTAATAGATAAAATAATCTGAATTTTTTTATACCTAACAATCAAATGTACTGAAAGGAAAAGTTTCAGGAATGCCTCCTTCCTTGTTGCTCTATCATTCACCGTGATATAAATATATTGAAAAAGCAAGCTACTTCTCATACATTTTCAAATGTAAGATAAGACTTTCATAATTTGCAAATATGAAGTATACAAAACCTCGTAACAAAAACGGTAACGCTAGCTGATATTCATCAATACTGCACAGTGCAGAACCAAGCTCGGTGCAGTGTAAGCCACCCAGCCAAAATCCTTGATGGTCGAGAATTAACTCAATTGCGCGATTGTAACAATCTTGCATATAATTCAAATGATCAGAACAAGCTGCAATCATGTAAGCTATAAGTGACTAATAAGTTAATGTGTTGAATTAAATCAAATCAATCAACATAATTATTTGGACATAAAAACATTAAAATTGAATCAGCATATTAAATAAAATGATTATCCTTTACCATGCATTTATCTTCGTTATGTAGCGCTCCCTTCATCTGAGATCAAATATTTTCTTTTTTATAACAGTCTATACAGTGATAGCAACTGAAGAATAAATGGACAAAATTTTTCCTAAACTTCTTGAGTGAATAGCTTCATTTCCTTGAAAGAACACACACTTTTGCACTGGAAACCAACCAAGTTTGGTTTTCGTTATAAGATAATAAGTCGACAGACAGCTTCCTAATAAAGCAACACTCTAAAAATTTATGGACAATGGAAAGATTACCAAATATGTTCATTTCGTAATTCCTCATTTCTGCATTTTTGAAGCACCGAGCGGCTTTTAAGTAATGGCTATACTGCATACTCCAGTCACCCATTTTCTCGTGAATTTTTGCCATTTGTATATGACACATACCAGCATACTGTTCACATTCTTCATCCCTAAATAATTTCCAAAAGCGAAATAAGAATTCTCTAATAGCTCAAGTGAGAACACTTTCATTACATTTTTCAAAAATCATCGTCTCTCCTTGTTTTTCTCTTTCTTTTGTTCTAACTTTTTCTTAGTTATTTAATATAGAAACATTGTTTCACATTAATAAAATTTTCTTAAGAAATATTGAAATTGTTCAACCGGATTGCCATAAGTAAGAGGAAAAATCTATTTACTTTACAACAAAGTGCAAAGGATTCCATTTTCTATATCCACAAACTCGAAGAATTCAATGAAGTGTGAAGTTAAATAATTAACATATTCTAATAATTCTGTAAAAGATTAAAAAGTCAAACTCAAAACGTAGTGCTAAATCTGCAAGCTCCGCCAAAACTTGGTGATTATTTGGTTTCTTCAGAAATTTCTTCTTTAATGAATCCAATGCTGATTTGTATTCTTTCCATGGATCTTTATAAGGCTCAACCATAACATATATTAATCATCCAGTGATGCTGAAAGCAGAGAAAGCACATTCCAACCGGTGAAACTAGCTAGCTCCAGCATAAAAAAGGAAAAAAAAAAGAAGCTTGCTCTTTGAGAAAATGTGACTTTATCACAATTATTCCTGACCTCTTAACAGTGATATCGACAATGTGGTCAAAACAATTGCAACTTCCCACATAGAATTATCCCGTATCTCGTCTATTTGCATGAATTATTTAATGTTAACTGAACTGATCTGCATTTAAATCCTAACAGTATTCAATATTAAACGACGAACTTTACATCCCTTACAATAGTAACATCATGCCGTAATCCTGGAAGGAGTTAATTTTGACTCCTTACCCAAATTTCAAATGGAAGGCCACAACCTTATGCAGTCAGACAGCAAAGCTTTCCGATCATTCAGTTGGAACAGAAATATGTACATATATGCATACATATTTGTACATAAACACGTATAAAGGAAACAACTCTTTTATGTTGGCAAATCAAGAGTATGAGACCAATAATTTATTAATGTATGCATATATACAAATATATATCGACATAATAGAAATGAATTTTAATGCCTAATTGAAAAATGATCCATCAACTCCCTATCTATATCTGTCACCATGGATGATATATCCAAACGCATTGCGTCATACCGCAATATACAGTCGTCCATTTTTTTTTCAGCTCGATCTTCTGCACTGAAAATGGAAGTTTATGTTGAAAACAAGTTGTAACTGCGAACCTTGAAGAAAAAGTTAAGTTAAAAAATATTTTAATCAACATTCAATTTGGGGAAAAGCATGTCTTTTTTCTTTCTTTTGAAAACTCATGTATTCTATCAAAAGGACAAATTAAAACATCTTTAACATAGAGAATGAAAAAACATCCCACAATATTAGTAGTATTCCCTACGTTTACATAATAATTTACTTAATCAGGCAACCCTTATAATTCAGCAAAATGCGCAATGTATTTTTTTGGAATAAAAGAAAGTTCTTCATGTCACTACTGCAACCATGGGTATGGCAGTCAACGAGAAGTTACCAGTAATAAAAGAAATGCATATCAAGAATTTTTTTCTTAAATCTTAAACAAGTAATTTTTTGTTTCCTAAGTCAAACCAGACTGTTATCGGATCTTAAAGATATGAGAAAGCATACTTCTGGATAGCATAACTCAAAAAATTGAAATCATGCAAAATTAGGAATTCCTTAAGGTCGTGAGTTAACTTCAACAACTCATCTGCAGCTCGTATCTGAAAATTAGCCTTAAATTAAAAAAAATATTGCTACTTCTAACAATTGGCTGATAGTTTGTTGTTAATAATTTATTGAAAACACTTCGTTACCGGAAAATTTCATGTAATTTGTGGTACTATGATCAGATATAAGGCGAATCCCATGATAATTTAGTAAAATAAGAAAAATGCTTTCGTAATCTGCTTTTGCTTCTCAAAGAATGAACAACATTAAATTCTCCGTCATTTTTAATTTTCAATCTTGAAAAAGTTTCCTTTGCCTACCACAGTAAGCTAGTTTTTACAATGTAAATAAATAAAGCCTTTAAATAAGCATATTAAAAATATCTGTCTCTCAAAAATTCTCACCAACCATCAGAGCAGCCCGTGCAGCAGTTTCGTTCCTCATTGTATAATAATCACTCATTCGACCTACTGGATTTTTGTGCGCTGCATCATCAATATTAATCTGCAAGTTAATCTTACCAAACAAAAGATTTAGTGGAAAACTTGGGCATAAGGCAATCTCCTGATGTAACAGTGACTGAATGACTATGTTTCATGAATAAGTCATTCAGTCGTTGTATTTAATCAATTTCGTGACTTCACTGTTAATGAATCAAACTTAGAGTGGAGTAATTACCGATTTGAGGCGAAAAATGTGTTCTTTACCAATACAACCAGAAGATAAAAAGCAATTAATATTGAAAAAAATGATCAAGAAGGAGGAATATGATAACCTTTGCGACAGAAATAATATTAATAAAGTTATCATTCAACGATTTAATGTTATCCTTTAACCGTCGTTTATATTCCTGCACAATCAGCGCTTTTGTTGCTATATTTCGGCCACTCTTCCTCACTGTTGCAGCTGATACTTGCGCCATTTTTGACTTCACAAAGAGCACTCTGAACTGAAATCGATAATTTTCAACTTATGAAATTTAAGCATACTTGTATATATCTTAACAAAAGTACATCCAGACAAATCATATCAAATACAATTTGGTTATATTACCAAAACGTATCTAATTTTTACGTCGTACTTTTACCGGAACGCATGCAGCATTTCAGTCTAATTAAATGATATAGTTTTCTGCTTCATTTCAAGTTATTTTTAAGCGGTAAAAAAATACAACGCTTCCACGCATAAAAATATGATAAAAGCGTGCAAGATGGTCCCCACGCCCCACACATCGAAGTACCACACGGACGTCACTCCTACCTTCGCCTCTCTCTCTTTCACGCACTCAGCTCATCCACAACATTAACGAACGCTACACATCTTTTCCTAGATCTTTCATAATCAATACTCTCTGCAATTTGTATAGCTGTCTGTCATCTCATTACATTCGAAGAGAGAACTCCGTATGAAGGGGCAGTTATGGGAGAATGTCTCTTTTTACCTGCGTTAATTGACCGCGGCAGAGGATTTCATCGATTATGCAATTTATCTTTTTTAACCGATTCTTGTGCTATAACTATAATTACCCATAACTTTGGGAAAGTTCTTTTTTTTGGTAAAGTCTTTTCTAATTTCTGTTATAGGCTTTTTTGTTCACTTTATGATTTATAACGAGCAGTTTTGATTTCCATACAGAAGTTGGACTATTTAAGTGGTTTGTTAGAAGATACAAATATTTATGTAATGAGGTGAAACGATAGTTTAGAAAATGAGTATTTTTTCTCTTTTTTAATCACTGAATTTCAGATGGGATATTGGCATAGTGATGGACAAAAATCTCTAGCATTTAGTCTGCTGTTGTTCAGTTTCCTCAGTAATATTTACTTTTCGTTTTTTTTTTTTAATCACTGAATTTCAGATGAATATTGGTATGGTCATATTCAGTGACTAGTGAATTTTAAATTAATTTCATTTTAATGAGACTGGATAAGTTGATATCGAGAGAAAAGTACTGGTCAGAGTTGAAGACGCTTCGAATATTATAAGTTTTGAAGCAGTGGAAGTTCACGATGAGTGTGGACTCTGTGCAACATGTCACTAAACTGCAAAGTTTTTTTTTTTTTTTTATTAAAATTTTTATTAAACTAGAGAGTCATTTATGTTACAATTTTCGCGTAACTTATTTTTTGTTTTTATGTTTTCTTTTGCGAACTGTAAGATTTTCTTTGCTTCATATACATGATGTGATGCATTAAGAATGGTGAAAGTAAAATAAAACAGTGTTAGGATTAACAAAGTGTGCGTAACTTTCAAGTGGTATACCTGAGTTTACGGAGGTAATATAGAGTCAGATTTGGTACGATGAGCTACTTTATTTATGAAGTACCAAATTTTCTTTTTTCGAAAATTTGTTTAAAGTTGAATTAGAAAATTTAAATGTAGGTCTAGTAAAATGACCTCCGTGAAATGTTTGGAAAAAAACAAGCTGAAATTATCATTTAGAAAGTTTGTCGCGCATATCGGAAGTTGTCGCACCATCATGTGGCGTTACAGTAGAAACTTCAGCGTCACATCTGAACGAGGTTATCATAAAACTTTACCAGTTTTATTTTGAATTTGATATAGTTTGAGGTTTTCCAATAACTTTTGTTCTTTTCTGTTGCAAAGAATTTAAACGGCACTTTTCAACTTCAGTTGGATAACTTTTCATCATAAAATTTCCATCATAAAATACAGTTGTTTCTAAACTTTTTAAGTTGTTTCTTTCATGATCGACTGTGAATATGCTTTTACCTGGACAATGCCATTATAGGATCAGTTGTTTGTGTTGCATTTGAATACGCATGGCATTTCGGAGGAAAAAGAAGAACGATTACGAGAGTTGTATAAACGACTAGATATGAATGAGGATGGAACCATCGATATGCAAGATTTGAGAAATGCTCTCAAGCAGAGGGCTCCTTATATACCGAGTGGTATTATACCTGTAAGATTTTTGGCACTTGAATTCATTGGTCAATTAATTGTGTGAATCAAATTTAAGACGTATATTTTTGTCAGTTGTTTTTAATTTACCAGACTTTTTGCTCAGTTGTGTTTTACAGTTTTTAAATTGTTCTTTCAAAATTCTTTAATAAATTTCTAGGAATTGTTTGCTCAAATTGACCATTTAAATGACGATATAATAACATTTGCGGAGTTTGTACAGTATGCTGTTGAACATGAGAAGAAATTGGAAATCATATTCCGAGATTTAGATAAGAATAACACGGGTTAGTTTTTCCTATCTTTGTTACTTTCTAGTTTTGTAAGGATTTTTTTATGGTTTAGAAAATCGAAATAATTGATTCCTGTTATTTCGCTTTTCCAGGACTTCTGCTGAATTTTTATCGGACTTATTGCAGATATAATTTCATTTTCTGGGCATTCGTCAGAAAAAAAGCTTTCTCTTTTTTTCAGGCTATGTCGGTGTGCAGGAGATCAAGAAATATTGCGAAAATCTCGGTCTCCCAATAACCGAAGCAAAAGCACAAGGAATTGTTGATTGGTAAATAAGTTGATTGGTAAATTGTTTTTTGTAGCAGTAGAAATTATCGTCCATTTTTGAAGTTATAAAATGAAGGCAAGTGGAATGTTTGAGTCAATTCCGAAATTATTTATAAAGAAATTCTTTTGTATTTTCTTAGGAAGAGGTAGCTGAATATAGGGAAGCATTGTTTTGAAATTAGTTAGCCGGCTGAAACAAATCTGTTGCCATGTATATTCCGGCGCTTTGTATTTACCTTTAAAAAAAAAAAAAGAAACAAGTGAAGATGCATCTTGGAATCAGAGAACAAAGTTCAATGTGTTCTCATTCAGGATGGCACGCACAAACTCAGCTTCTGTGAATTTCTCAGAATTCAAAGATTTTATGTTGTTCTATCCTCGATCCAAACCAGAAGAAGTTGCGAAATTTTGGAAGCATGATTTGGTTAAATTTTGCTGCGAATTTTTACATTCGAATACTCCATATTTCTCAAAAATTCAGGAAAAATAAGTTTTAACGACAGTAATTTATTATCTTCTGCTGATTTATCTCAGCTGTATCATAGGTAATTGATATCGGTGAAGATAGCCAGATTCCAGAAGATTTTTCGCAGCAAGAAATCGCTTCAGGATTTTGGTGGAAACATTTGGTGGCTGGTGGAATTGCAGGATGTGTGAGTCGGACGTGTACGGCACCGTTAGATCGAGTAAAAATTTATCTTCAAGTGAGTTTTTTGCGTTTTTTTTTTTTTTTTTTTATTGTTATGTTGTATTAAAATAAAACTTTATATCTTTATGCCCATTATTATTCCTTAAAATATTACTTGGTTTAGGTTCATGCGACTCTACTCAACCGATTACGGTTTCCAAAGGCTGCGAAACTTTTATATGAAGAAGGTGGACTGAAATCTTTCTGGCGAGGAAATGGTGTTAATGTCGCGAAAATTGCACCCGAATCAGCTATCAAATTTCTTTCTTATGACGTTGTACGTGTCCTCTCGTATTCGATATGAGTAAGCACCACGACCAATTATTATCCTGCATAACATCATATTTCAGGTTAAGCGACTGATTATTAAACATAGAGACGAAGGTCACAAGCTTCAAATATCAGAACGGCTTGCTGCGGGTTCTGCTGCAGGTTTAGTGTCTCAAACAATTGTCTATCCTTTGGAAGTACGTTTTTTTTGTTTTTCTTTGTTTCTTCTATTCGTTGTAGTCTTTTCAACACCCATATTGCATATCATTTGCACTAGTTTAGTTTCGAGGTTTCTTCTATAAATTCAAAATTTCGTTGATTTCCGACTTTCAGGTATTAAAAACACGCTTAGCGCTGCGGCGCAGTAATCAATTGGAAAGCGGTTTAGTCGATCTTGCCGTCAAAATGTATAGAAATGAAGGCTTTCTTTGTTTTTATAGGGTAAAATATTGGATTACAATTGTTCTTAAATTCACTAGATAAATCTTACAGGTTTAGTCGATGTCTATTTTTAGGGAATTGTTCCCAATCTTATCGGCATCATTCCTTATGCGGGTATTGATCTGGCTATTTATGAAACACTTAAAAGTTATTATGTGAACAATTACAATGCTCATCCAGTTCGTGATATCGTCGCTCTTCCAGTATGTGGTGCGTGCAGTTCTATTTGTGGTATGTTAGCAAGTTATCCGTTTGCTCTCGTGAGGACGCGATTGCAAGCTCTAGGTATGCTTTATTTCATTGATAGAATTAGGCTCTATATTTAGTTAATTTTACCTAATTTTGAAGTGGTATGATCTTGTCAAATTTTTTTTATACACAGAGTAATAGAAATGATGTAATGCAATTCTAACATTCCTATGTCACACTGTGACATTTCTGTTTTACAGTGCATATTTCAGCGATATCAGATAATTTGACTCAACCAGATACTATGAATGGACAAATGCAATACATTTGGAAAAATGATGGGCTGTATGGATTTTATCGGGGACTTACTGCTAATTTAGTGAAAGCTGTGCCAGCAGTTGCCATAAGTTATTATGTTTATGAATATGTGCGCACAGGTTTGGGTGCTCCGATGATGTGATGATATGTTAATATATATATATATTTTTTTACATTCGCATATTTTTTCATCGTGTTTTTTTTTATGGGATATTTTAAATCACTGGAAGTGAATTGTTGAAACTTCTATTGTTAACATTAAAACAGGTCGCATTACATTTGTATTTCTTTTTTTCTGTAAGAGCATTCCTTTATTGCTTCCTTTCTTTATACTTTCCTTACATCTTTAAAAATGTGCTCCTTCATTTTTGTCTGATTATCTGACCATTGAGCATGATATACCTCATAATAATGACGCTACTAAATTTTGTTCAGTCTATCTACCACTTCGATCATTAGCGTGAAGTTTTCGGTCTAAAAAAAAATTTAACAAAAAAGTTTGATAATTTCTGCTATAGCTTTTTCCAGGA